CTCAGGACAGACAGTTTTATTACAGAGGGACTACAAAGCATCAATGATTAAACAAATAAAAATTTCAGTTCCCTTCTCAAACTCCCTGACATAGAAAATGAAATACAATAAATCAGGGAAAATAAAAAGACAGATTCAAAAAATTTTTACCTCTCCATTAGATAACCAGGCTGTCCTGAGTTATTTGAGTCTCTAAAAGACATTTTAAAACCACTATTCTTAATGGTATCAATAATAGAAAAAACTGTGTTTTGAAGACAAAAAATTTGTTTCTTAGAAAACCCCCCAAGTCAGTGAAGTCATCTGTGTTTACGTGGATTTACATGTAATCGTAAAAACTCTTTGCTCACTGAAAGTTGTGAATTGCATGCATCTCTCATGCATCTGGTGTCAGACTCTCATGCTCAAGCAAAAAATCTTATGGCAAATCTATATTATTCCATTATAAATATAATTCCATTATATTATATTATTATTCCATTGTAAAATTATCTACATCAAAAACATTGGAGTAGTTTGCAAACCATACATGCTATTTACAAGGTAATTAATTTTACATACATGCAAATGCATGAGCATGTGTGTGCAGACTTGTCTCCTGAAAATTTACAGCCAGCTGACCAAAATGGGATGTTTATTTCTATTTTTACTTAAGTAAATTGTTTGAGTACTTCCTCCACCACTGGTCCTTAGTCCAGTACTCATAGTCTGTAAATAAGTATTATATAAAAAATTTTGTTGAAAAACAAAATTAAAATTGTTTTAAGAGATTAAAAGAAGTTTATTACAGTCCAGGAGTTTTCAAACACATTTTACAATTCCATTATGTGTCTATAATTTACAAATTGCAAAACATTCTCACTAATCTTAGAATATGGCAATATTGTTGTCAATGGTTATAAATCCAATAGCCCTGCATACTTAATCTGTAACTGTGTCAGTAGTGGGATCCATCCTGTATGTGTGCCCTATTAAGCTAAGACACACCAGTGATTTCCTGAATTCTTTCACCGCATCTAAGACAGCTACCACCATACCCAAGATATTGTCCAAAGGCTTATCGTTCCTGTCCAGGTCCCAGCAAAGAAAACAACATGGAAGTAAAAATGGTTATAAAAGGAAATGTTGACTGATTCCTACTGGTAAATAAAAAAAATTGTGTTCACCATTATACTTACTGAAAATAAACACTGCCCCTGGAGATCATTTATACTTCACAATCGTCATTCTCACAAATTTCCTCAAGTGCTGTGGAGCCTTCGTCTTTCCTGCTAAATGATGCTTTGTTAAGATTTTTGTGATTTGGAGAAATGCAATGGAGAGATCATTTTATAATAATGTTAAATTGTACAGATATTGTGACTCTAAATGCACATGAATTGCTAAATTCCACCCACCCATAAATTCTATGAAATATTTATTAGAATTATGTATTAGAATGGTGTTACTATACCTTGCAATCCTATTTCACACTGGAAGAGTCTTATTAGAGAGGAAGACGAATGAGGGAAGAAAGGGCGGAAGAGAGGAAGAGGCTGCCAGACTGAGTCATCAATGCTGTTTGTTACTCCATTGTAATGTTTTTTTTTTTTTAAAAGAAAAACAGCAAGAAAACAAACAAGATTAACAATGAGATGCTTAGAATTTGAATTTCTTTTCAGCAATGCGCAAAAACCTGCTATTGGATTGACATTTGCATACATTCAAAATGGTTTGTAACTAAAAAAAATCAATATGCTTGTGAAGTGATGAGTAATGAATTCATTTTATTTAATATTTATTCATTTAATATTTCATTATTTTGTAACAAATTAATATTTCATTATTTTGTAACAAATTAATATTTCATTATTTTGTAACCAATTAATATTTCAATATTTCAGCTCATCTCTATTTGAGTAAATATAAATGAAATCAGGAAGATATATAAGTGTAGATTAGTATGGATAATCTTTCCACGATGATTCAGAGAATCTCCTATCACTTACATAGTCTTCCAGCATTCCATTGATTTTTTTGTGTACTATATTCCCTGAAATATAAATTACCTCATTACAAGCCCCAGACATCTCCTTAATATATAGAATATTAAGCAGCAGTATAGCAGTGGAATGAATGATAAATAAATTAATTAATTAGGCTAACATTTATCTGACATTGTAATCAAAAACAACTAACAGTACAAGAAATGGTTGTAATTTATATCTACTTTATGGTATTTGAACCAAACCCTTGTATTGTTAGCACAGTGCTCTACATTTTGAGCTATAGAAACAAAGTCAGGGTAGTGATTGTACACTCATTAATTGATTAAACTGTAATACTGTCTGCAGACCATTTCCACCTTAATGGCACCGGACTGGACGACAGCTGGAAAGTGAAATATGGCTATTACACTGCCTCTGATTGAGTTGTGAAATATTTTAGGGTGTTGTCTTGCTAGCAATCTTTGGTGAGGAGCAACCTAGGTGAGACTAATGTCATACAGGAAAACCTTTCACACTGCAAAGTATAGTATTGGGGGAGATGTCAGTTTGTGTGTGATTGTATATGTGGGTTCCCTGCAATGGCCTGACATCCTGTCCAGGGTGTTCCCATGTCTAGTGTCCTGTGCTCCATGGGAAAAGCTCTGGCTCCCACCCCCCACAAGCCTGTGCTGATAAGTAGTTGAAAGATGGATGGATGATGGGGCGGGTTGGGGGTAGACACATTGTTGGAAGGGAGCCCAATATACATGCCTAGAAAGTCAGGGGTGACCGTGGCAAGAGAGGGGAAAGATCGAGTTTGTGTTCGAGGTCAGGACACTTGCATGGCCTTCGTTAGGTCAAAACAGTGTATCATGGCAACCGTGTCACCTTCATGGGTAACTGGGATTGGAGCAGGTTGTAAATGGGTGATATATAATGTGCAACCCCCCCTCCCCCCAACCTACGTCAAAGCTACACACAAAGAGGTATGCTAATGAAAATGATCTCTGTGCTGATGAAATCAAGTACCCTGACTCTGTAACGGATATCTCTGCACTCAAGCAGTTGCTCTGCGTTCTCTTTCTAGAAAAATATTTAAAAATAACAGTTAAAGAAATATCAAAGCCTGTTGTAAGTTTGCACATACAAAACATGTTTGTGTACCAATCCACAAACCTTCTTTGAACTGAATCCATCAACATTTTCTCTGAGCTGCATTTCTATAAATGTGGTGTGGTTAAAAGTCCTCCTAAATTGTTTGGTCTACAGATGTTCCATCCATGCTTACTGAGGCATACTTCAGAATGTCTTTTTCAATGCTCATTAAAAGCATGAAAGACTACTATAACACTGAAGATTAAAATGAGAGCATGATTTATTAAACATGCCATGGCGTAAAAAAACACAAAGTGTACAATACATATTTTGAGAAACATGGCAATATTAGATTTTTTTCTACATTATGAATTATTACCTCTTCATGATTACTTTGTCAACCAATCAGTGATAATGTCTGTGCTGTATTTGTCCTGGGCAAGTAACTTCCCAAACATCCCTGCCCAAGACATTGTCCAGTGGCTTATCAGATCAGGCTTATATGGATCTCTGCAAAGAAACTGGCATAATGCAAGAGGAGGTTCCCACAAAGCCTTGTTTTGTTACATTGTTGGTGCATTATCCATTGTATTTTCAATAAAAACAAGTTTTTAATATTCTCCAATTCCTGCCTTGGCATGATAATAACAGCCTGACCTGTTCATGCACATTTCATACATCCGCATGCAACCTGCTGTGACCAAGTTCTAATGGAGAACAAAGAATAGCGCGGGCTTAGCCTTTCACATATGTTCTACATTACCTCAGTCTGGTTTTCATTCATTGTCTTATACATAGAGATGAAAGGATTCCGTTTAGAGTATGGTGTTTTAGTCAGAATATCCGCTTCATCCGTTAAATGGCTATAAACTTGCTCTCCGAATGATATCATCTGTATTATGGCAGAATATTTTAGCATCAAAATGCTTACAATATGGACGTGCTTGTTACACACTTGGAGAGCAAAGCCATGCCCCAAGGCAAGACGGAATAGTCTGGGTAAAAGAAGCTGTTTTTGCAGCTCAGTCAGCGCTGAATCACAGAGTAGGTTCCATGCAGCTGTGTTTTCCTGTTTTTTAAAATGATCACTTCAATCGTTTTGCAAGGATCTTGAGTAATGCACAAACAACAGTCAGTGCTGGTCAACCCATTAGGCAGCATAGGTGGTCACCTAGGGTGCTATCTTCTGAAGGGGAACCTATTTAGCCAGTTGAGTTCACTTTGGCTCAGACAGGGGGCGCCACATGGGATTCAGCTGGTTCTGACAATAATTGCCAGTTCACACTAATACAATATACCTCTAACAATGCCAAAAGACACAATAATAAACTAAAAAACCAAAGATGTCAGTTTTTTCCTAAGACATGTTTCTCTTTCAAAAAACACCAGCCTTAGTTCTACACATCCCACATATCAGCAACCTCAGCGCAAGGGAATATAGTCTAATAAAGTTGTTTCTTCAGTTTTATTTTTCACTGGAAAAGTGCTTACCCACTACAACATTGCAGGGGGTTTAAGCCTTAAGCACAAGAATAATGAATTCCCCATTTCCAGCTGTATTGCCGATATGCAGGCACTCTTTCAACACTAGCATCCTCTAGTGGTTATTCTATCTTTGCATCAAACACCAAACTGCTCAAACCACATTATTTAGCTGTGAAAGTTACATATTTAAAAGACCGATTTGTGCTACATTTTATATACTCTTAGAACACTAAAAAGAATGTTACTTAGTTATTTCTGATATTTCTGTAATATGAGTATTTTTGAGTAAGAAAAATGTGGCAGTATTAAAGATGTGCAGGGTAATGAAAAAAAAATCTAAATCTTACCTAGAAATCCCTAAATTACTTCAATATTCAGTATCAGTGTACTGGTGATCTTGACAGTAAAATTACAACAGCAACCCAGCTCAAACATAAAATCAGTTAACTTGTGTGCATTGCAAAGAAACTTTATTTATAGTAAAGCGTAGAACATCACATAAAAGGCAGACAATTTACTTTTAAGTATAAAACACGAAACAAAGAAGACACATAACATAATGTCCATCTAATGGACTTTCGTAGTAGACTAAAAACACAAGTAAACAATGGACATGCAGCCATGCACCCAAAGAGACATCAGTTATAACAGTTTTCACATTTGCAGAGAACTAAATATGTCATGTGCTTCAGATTTATGTATCATATGTTAAAATTAGCTATGTAATTATGGGGATACTCCCCCTTAAATGTTTTGCCCCCTCTGTGAAAATATACAAGCAAAAAATGAGTAAAAAGTGATCAAACATTGTTTCAATAACCAGCGAGTAATTAATACCACATTACACATAAAGGTTCATAAAAAGTCTTTGATATTGAGGGGGGAACAAAGGGTGGTATTAATTACAACTTGGCAATTAACTGCAAATCAGCATTAATAAAACATTAGTTTATTTTTATGTTTTATAAAAAAGGACTTGTAGTTAATTATTTGAAATCTACATTGACTGAGATTTTTTTCTGCATATATTATGTATTAGTTAACAGTGACAGACATTACTGCAATTTTTTGTCCCAGTCCAATTTAATTTAATACTTTGATTTAGATATGTATTGCCATACCAGGATAATCAATTTAGGAAAAATGTAATAAAGAATATTTATCACTATTATACAGAATATTACATTTTGCCATGTTTTAACACCTGCAATGATTAGGCTCAAACTATTGCCGTTCATTTAAAAGAAAAAAATATAAAACAGCTCAATGCTTCTACATGAAACAGTATTAAGTGCGTACAAATTCCTGTTTTACTTACATAAAAATGACATTATTTTCAGGATTTGATGACAGTAAAGGCATTTGATGGGGCTGCAATTTCTGTAACATAACAAATAATGACATTCAAAAGTGCTGTTTAGAGACACTAGGTTGTTGACCATTTTTAAACCAGTACAGTTGCACTGAAACACAAAACCACCAACAGATGATCCATTTGGGTTCAATAAAACAAACGCAGACTGACACAAAACGTACTCCATAAAAATGTCTTTCCAAATGAAATTATGTCTGACAAATCAAGTTTCGACTATTATAAATTAAAGACTATAGATGGAATGGAAATAAGAAAGATATACTGCAGAGAAACATGTTTGATACAAACATGGGAAACTTAAAAGCAATTTTAAAAAATTCTGTGCTCATATCAGCTTTAACTGTAAACATTAAACCAAAGATGTACACATTAGTCATCACAACAATGCTAAAACTGTGAAAATTAAATGGATGTCTGACTATTCAGTCTTTAAAAATATGTGCTGTAAAATTAGCAATGAGAAAATAAGTTGCCTTTATATGTACATCCAGTTTGTTTTAACTAGTATACCTACGATTTGTATTCCTCATTCCAAATACAAACAACAAATACAATTCCCATTTAAATCCAGTGTGCCAAATTGCCAAATGAAGGTAAACCCACTAAGAGATTTTGACTGAATATGTTTCTTCAGTACGCTGAATTTATAGGGCATGAACAACTCTTCATACTAAAATGGTAACTCATATAAATTCGTGAAAGATGTGCGGTTTTTGTTAGGTTTGTGTTTAAAACACAATCATTAAACTTAGGATTCTACTTGTACTATTGTCTGGTATTTTTCATTTTTCACTATGAATACTCTGTCACTGTGACCTTGTTCACAATATATAGAATATCTGTACAATAAGTCACCAGCTGCAATAAATGAGAAGAAGAATATAAATTATATTCTGTGCATTGTACATTATTTTGCCAGTGAACTGACTGCCACAAAGATTTAAAAATTAATCCCTTGAGCCCTTCCAACATTGTACAATGAAAAATGTCTTGTTACTGCATGGCAAAACTTTAAGATTAAACTACAAACACTGTAGCACTTAATTATTTTCTTTGTGACCAGCCCCCCTGTTTCACACTGTCCTGTATTCTGCACTATAAATATTGTGGAAACTCTCCCCTCGTCACTCGCTGTCTGTATGTATGTTGCCCTGTGGTTCTGTGGGAACTCGTTCGTACCACTGTGTACATGGATGGTATGATAATGAAGTCCATTTTATCATTTACATTGCTGTTTGGTGACATGTTCTTTCCAACCATTACACAATGACAGTGAGAGGAAAATTGTCAGAGCTGCACACAAACACTCCGCTTTTGTAACAGAGGACTTGGGTTCCTGTGAAGTGTATACTGCTTTCAGTTCTACTCCCTAAGCATATACAATTTTTAACATTTTTAAGGTTCATAGAATCATATCATCTACCATGCATACTGTAGATGTCTTGTTATAGCTTTCAAACAACATTTTCTCAACCATGTCAGTATTTCTCTCAACAATGTTCATAGAAATTTGAGTGGGGAGGGAGAGATGAGTGTGAACATCCAAGTTTTGAGCAAGTTCAGAAGATCAGAAGAGCACATTTACTTTATGTGTGCTTTATTCCCAATGGTTGTGCGAGTTGTTTTCTTTCCACCCCCCACCCCCACAAACACATGCTCACACCCTACTGAAACAGGGGTCACACCCTCTCCTCCCCAGGGGTCACCACTCTCATCCTCAAATTAACACTCTGTTTCTTCTTCGGTGTAATATGGCTCTGTGTCATCCTACCTGGATGAAGTATGAAGCGGGAATCATAATACAAACCATATGCACTGTGCACAATTTTTAAGTAAGTGGCATCTATTTTGCAAAGTAAAGCTAATCTTCAAGATGACCAAAAAACACTTTATTAGCCAGGCTACTCAGTGAATTTTTGCAACAAGGTCAAACTGTTGTCTGTCGATCATCTTTGCCAAAGGAAATTTCCAGTTACCAGAAACATTATTATACACTCTGCTTGTTACCCATTTAAAAAAAGCTGAGATTAAATGGCATTAGTTTAGTTTCTTCAGTGGCCTCTCTTCTCGAAGGTGCCAAGTAGTTTTTTGTTTGTCTACTTTGCTCCGGTCCCTGACCTTCCTTAGACGACGCGGCGGAGGTGATGAGCGGGACTCACTATCCTCCTGGGCGCTGGATGTGTCCGCGCCATCTCTTTCCTCTGGGATGTTAGGAATGCTCCCGCTTCCACTGTCCAGGATATTCCTCAAGGTGACATCCTCGGGGGTGCAGGCTGCGGTGGTCCCGCTCTCACTGCTGCTCAAATCCAGGTCCTCCGCATACAGGGCCTTACTGTGGGGCATGCTTTTCACAAAGGTCTTCTCCCTTTCGAGTCTCTTGCTTGAATGGTGTTCATTCATGTCCACCCCGGAGTCTAAGCTGGTGTCGTTGCTGTCAGTTGGCCTGTGCCTCTTCTGCAGGTCAATAATAGAGTGGCGCACCTGGGCAGCAGGCTTGCCCTCCAGTGAGACAAACCAGGCCCTAGGATGCTGAGGTTTGCCTTTTGAAAGCTCAAGCAAGGTCTGCTCTGAAATGCCCTGAATCTCGCTACACAAAGGGCCCATCTGTACAGCTTCGTTCAGGGTACCCGGGACAGACACAGACTCCAAAAGGTTGTTGTATCGCCCCCATGCTCCTGGGTTGGAAGCAGAACTTTGGGGACCCTCCAGAACCTGCTGCTCCTCATTGGCCTGGTGTTGAAGATGGGAGAGCATAGAGATCTTGGGTAGAGTCTGGGTAAAGCTGTCTTTACTGGTAGGCTCAGTCTCGTTAGCCATTTGGCTTTTCCGAGGAAGGGTGGCTGACTTGCAGCCGGCTAGCTGTTCAGAGGACTGAAAGAGCTCAGGTGCCTGAAGAATGGCCACTGGCTGGTTGTAAATATGAGTAAAAAACACATTCTCATTCAGGCCGAGTTGTACCACCTTCCTTTCGGCCATTTCCTTCAGCCGTACTGCCTCGCGGCTGTTGACGTAAATAGGAGATTGGTGGGGCCTGATGAACTCAGGACCTTTGTTTCCTACTTTGGAAGACTGTAGCCCCACATCCTCCACGTAAATGTTGAATTTGCCCAGAGGCCAAGAAGGACCGTACTCTTCTCTTCGCCCACCACTAGTGGAAGCCACTGAGTAGGATCTATCATCATGGTGAGCAGAATCTTTGAAGGATATTTCCCTGCTCCCACTGTTGTTAGTAGAAGTGGTCTGGTCTTTCTTCAAAGCCACCATTTTGGTGACATTTACTCTCTTATTTTCCGGTTCACATGCACACACCCTGTAGATGAGATCAAGCATTGTTTAATCTATGTGGAACTAGATTTTGTATATTATACATATGAGATAAAGACACTAAACAAAAATGTCAAATTGTGAAGATTAAAAATGAGATTTTGTCTCAAAATGCACATTTACTCCTGATTCAAGAGTCATGCTAATAAACAAAAGTTGCAAAACAATGTCTTACCTACAATAACATAACAGCACAGTTACAAATCCAAAAACAATAATTAGAGTTCCTCCCAGGATTACCATGAGAAGGTACGTATGGTATGAGATGAAGTCCAAAGAAGTTGCATGTCCCATGTAACCTAGATTTGCACAAACAGAAATCTGGTTACCGGTCTGGAATTCTGGGCTTTCGCATGACAGCAAATGAATAAACAGATAGATAAACAAACAAACAAACAAACAAATTGAAACATCACACACTTAACACAACAGCCTTGTACAGACAAACAAAACGAAGCCTAAAGCTTTGCAATAACATCCTACCCCTGGATGTAGGTAAGGGTGCAGCAATCCAATATCCTAAATGAGGTGCAATATATGTCCAAACCAGACCGTCGTCCTCCATCTTCACCATTCCAAGACCCCGATTCACCCAGGCACCTGAAAAAGAAATATTTTACAGACTATGCACATGCCTGGAGATTTCATTACATAAAGACATGAAAATGTGTTAGGGCTGCCTGAAGCCCATCGCAGGGCACAAGGCTAAGGTCTACTCTGGACAGGAGGTTATCGCACGGAACACACAGACAGACACACTATGGCTAATTAAGAGGTGACAATTAGCCTAACTGCATGTCTTTGGACAGCGGGAGGAAAGTGGAGAGACCAGAGAAAACCCATGTGACACGATAAAAACATGAACCCCCCCCCAACCCTAGAGGCATGAGGCTGTAATGCTACATACTGAGCCGTGCCTATTATAAAAATCTAAATTAGCTAAATACATAAAAAAAATTTACGCTGAAAAATTCAAGGCAAATACCATGCTTGAAACACTGTACCAAACGACCACGGAGCAAAATGACTTATTCTTTGCACTCGTTTTGACTACTAATGCCCATTTATCTGTATCATTAATTATTATACTTGATAACAATGCTAATGCATGAGTCACCCCAAAAAGATCCCGTAATGAACCCACCAGTCTTCATATCAAATGTCCAGGCCGGTATAGCGTCTGAAGCACGCAGACCAGAATTTTCTGCCAAGGGCAATGTGATCTGGATTGGCCCCGTTACATGGACCTCCTTTCCATAAGATAGGAGCTGGACACTCACTGCTGCCATTGGACTGAGCTCAATGTTCCGGAAACCTGCGTGATCAACAGTACATCATGGTGTGAAGCACTACAGCTGAACAAGCATCTGCGAAGCACCAGAGATATTTTAAGTCGATCGGTTTGGCGTCAGAAAGGGATTTGTAGTCTGTATCGCTTTCAGTACATATCCACGGGCGGTCCACTCTCCGTTATCACCCAGCTACACCTGTGCTCACCAGACTTGTTGATAAGAACGCCCACAGTGTATAAGAAGCAATCCTTCTCGGAAGGAAGCTGAGGCACTGTCAAGTAGGCAATGATGGAGGAGATGTTTCTGCTCTCTGACAGCTTCAGCAGGTTCTTGGGAAACTGCACACTTGGTTGAGTCAGTGCATCTAAAATATACACAAATACACATCTTACTGTACAAGGGAAACAAAGTAACAGGTTTTATTTTTATATGTTAACACTGTAAAATGGAAGACACAGTATTGTTCATCCTATACAAAAAGCCACTACTGCCAAAAAAATCGGAATCGACTTGTCACGGTACGGACGTCACATACCAGAAATCTTCCCAGTTATCATAACAGAATCCTCAAAAAGCCAAATGTTTCCTTGGTTTTGAGGGAACATTGAAAGTGTCACAGAGGAGAAAACTGTAAAGGAAAAAATATAATTAACAGGATCATAGAAAATAATTTTATCAGGACTACAGTGATACATGTATTTTTCTCTCATAAATAATAGTCCCTTTTAAGGAATATGAACACTTATAATTTAGTGGGGAACATACATATGTAAAGAATATATAGTACGTATCCATATACATTTGTATTCATATCTTTGTCCATTCATTTCTATGGGCAAAACCCTAATCCCAGCTATGACAACCTTAACCCCCACCCAGCCCTAACTTTAACCATAAGTAACCAAATTAAATACAAGGGTTTTTAGTTGACTGCAGTCACCGACCAAAAAAATGCTCCACACAATGTAATATATACATAACTCACACACACACAAACACACATATATATTGTGTATATATATACACACAGAGTGTATGTGTGTATATATACACACAATATGTGTGTGTGTGTGTGTGCATGTGTGTGCGTATATATGACATACAATATCAGGGATGGCCATTTTATACCTCAGCATAAAAGTTCACGATGCCATATCACTGATTTTAAAAAGTGTACAATTTGGAATGACCTCAGGATGCATCATTTTTAACATCTTTGCATCAGTAATGTACGATTTATTAATATATTATTATTCATAGAAGGCCTATGCCTTTATTACTCAGAAATGTGACCAATAACTAATGACCAATCATTTTATATTTAGATTGATTCCCCCTCTGTAAACTGCTTCTGCATTTGTACCAATTGACTTGGAAAGCATTATATTCTTTTGCATCACATCGTATTGCATTAAATCAAATTGTGTTGAATCAAATTGTGTCAAATCACACTGCATGGCAATAGGGGTGAATCATATCGTATCACATTAGTTGTTGCTTTATATGTATCTGTAATGTACTGGGTCACTGGCAATGCATCAAGGCGTGGATGTGTGCACACACGCACACACATTGTGTTTGTTTATATTGGCAACTGTTGTTGCGTGTAGTTCTTGGTGCCACTAGGGGTCAGCCTTGTATCAGAGTTTTGCCAATGTGTCCAAGACTAAACAAGGGAGGTGCCTCTGAATTACACCAAGGCCTGTGGAGACAGACACTTCTATCCCTGCAGAGCAAAACACAGCTAGACAAAGGCCGAAGAGCCCAAGCTGAATGTGGGCTGATGCTAACTGCAAGGCTCCTCCCATGCAAACATGACACATAGCGCAGGCATTACTCTGAATAACACAACCAAGATATAACTGCAAATATGTTAATTCTACAGTCTCACTTCAATTTTTCTTCAAATCACTCTAAATAACCTAACATGGCAAAATAGCTCCTTTGCATTTCACACAATATTTCTCTTATTTAGTCTTCAATTTAGAAGGTAATGAAAAAAATACATATTACATACGATTAAATATGAAATCCTTTACTAAAGGCTATTCCCGTTACTTATATCACAGCAGCGCTTGAATTTCCTTTCCTTGTTTTTATTATGCTCACTTGCATCACAAATTCAGATATCAAGCATTTTTATGGACGTTTAAAAATATAAGATATATCAACATCGCCCAGAAATTACACGCTGCAGTTTCATGCTACACATGTTGCTATGCAGAGCAGCTATGGTAACGCAGGGCAGCGTGTAGATGTACTCACTTGGCATTTTGCTGGTTTTCCAAGGCAGCGGCGTGAGGGTGTACCCGTCCATGCTGGCCATGATGGTAAGTGTCAAGCCCAGTTGATAGGGCACTTTAAGCAGGACGGCCCCATTCTCTGCTGTGAGGGCAGAGTTGGTCTGTGTGTAATTCACAAACACTTCCACAGAAACTTTGCTCAGGAACTGTTGGCTGCTGGCATCCCTCACTTGTACCTTTAAGGTAAAGGTGGAATCTGCCAAATATCAGAAGGAACCGAGAATGTAACGATTGCTGAATTGTTGCAACTGTGATCCTAGACTGTATAATAGCCTCAATGCAAAGCTTAAGAGTGCTTTATAATATGTACATCATAAGAATTATATAGCTAGCATGGCTTTATTTCCTACAGCATTCTAATCGATGGAAAATATAATGACATGCCATTGTAGTAGTCAGTTCAGACAAACAAACTTTCAATAGGTTCAAATGCAACAGATGTGAAATACTTGTTTAAAAGTCCTGCTTTTAGACCGGAATTTTGCAGTCTTAACATGAGCTACTCCCAGAGATTGAACGAACAAATACCTAATCTCTGGTCAACTGGTAAAAATATAACCTCATACTTCACTGAACAACATCAACTGCCAGACCATCTGCCACATTTTTTTACATTACATTAGTTTAGCACAAACTGCTACATTTTCTAGAATCTATTCAGTACATTCCAAATATAAAACCGTCAGCATTCGATTATGCGCTAATGCCTAATGGTAGCGTTGTCTGCTAATAGTGTACTTTAGTTATCTTGTACCTGTCTTAGTATCCTGTATTGGTAGAAACCCATGTACAAGGAAAGAAGCACATAGAAAGCCCTTATATTACGAAATCTCTTCCAAAGCACTGATGCACTGCTATCAGTTTCCATCATTATTCAGCTGTATATTATATGGTGTGAGGAAGCATCACTTAGCAGCACCAGCCATCCGTGATGTACTACATGGGAACAGAGGCCTAATCAAAAGGGAGAAGAATGCCAGCACCCTTTGAAGGCATTGTACCTTCCCCACACACCTCAGGAATGTGCATTCATTCAGGGAGGATTAATGCTGAAAACAGCCAAGGGCTTGTCCTGGATTCCACAGTAATATGAGCCAGAAGAAGCATGTGAAGGATACAAGACATGCATAAACTGATAAAGCTAAAATGCTTCAATAAATTGGGAGTAATAATCTATATATATATATATATATATATATATATATATACCATACATATATATACAGATATACCATATATATATATACCATATATAAATCTATATACCATATATTAACTCCCAATTTTTAAATAAAATATGGTTTCAACATCTGAGCTGTAAATAGAATAAACCATTGTAGCAACTGAACAAATACAAAGAACAAAAACACATCACCAATAAACAGCCAGGTAATAATATGACAGTGACAAGTCTGTATTTATCAATTAAATAAATTTCTCTGACCAGGGGAAAATGGAGGGATGAAGTACAATTCCTGACAGAACAGTATTATAAGTAACATGTAAACATTTCCCCAATATAATCAACTGGATGATGGGTGGATGGATAAAAGATGGATGGATTTCAGATGTTGTTATATTAATAATTTGTGGTATGTAATGAAACCCTATACATGTATCAGAACCCTATATTGACAACTGACTGCAATGATTACGTGCCTATTATAATATTTAGAAACTACCAGGCATATCACGCTGATTTTTGGGCAATTCACCTCAACCACTATCAAAGCACTACAATATAATTGCATTTTAGACAACTGGATCAGGAATTACCTAGCTATCCCAGTTTACGGAAGAGTTGTGTTAAGGCTTTAGTTGTTGCATAAAATACCATACAGGTCAACAAAGAAGAGAATTGCCAGATTACTGGTAAGTTTGACTGGTACAAGTCTGCTTTATTTATGAAAATGTACACTTTCTAATGAAGACATCTTTGTACGGCACAATCCAATGCAAAGCTCCTTAAGTGTAACATCAATTGCTGCCGAGTCAGCTGAACTGCAAGGCCAGATCAACTGAATTGCTGGCTTAGCACTTTATCAGGTTTCTATTATCATTAGTGAAGAGATCATATTCTAATAATATATGCAGCTCTGTTCTGGTAATACAGACCTAAAGCATTCTCTTCCTTGGGCTCAATTATTTGTTTTATTATCTGCTACAATATACCACAATGAAATGCAATGCTCCTCATACTTCAAGAGGTGACATAATATTTATGAGTCTAGTTTATGACCTCGGTCTATTTACTTATTTTTGTGGGAGTTTCATTCTGCACTTATGCGAAGTGCCAGGCTTTTGCTCTGTACAGTCATAGAAAGTTCATTATTTATTCCCTATTGTAGTGTTACTGAAGATGAAGAAGAGCCTTATTCATATACAAAGGAAATCATTTTTAAATCCTGGGCATATTTCACTCTAGCCACCTCTGCTAGCTGAGCGTTTGAAGCAGATATCCTAGGGAGCACATGTAAATTGTAACCTTTCCCTCTCCTGTAAGTTGCTTAACACACACACACACACACACACACACACACAAGTATCAGATAAATTAATAAATGTACTTATTTATCTTTTTCCAAGAGACTCTGACACACGCCTGATGACAAAATCCACCATTTCATTTGGAAATGCATTCATCCATAATATTAATCTGCCAGAACGCAGCGTACAAATCTTATTTTTTTATGCTATTATCAATAAAATTATGCAGTGTGGGACAAAAATACAGGGAACTGCTCCAGAACCTCATTGGTTTCCAGAGCAAACCATCAGAAAACCCCATGTGTCTGATTCCTCTGGTATCCATACGAAACCACTACCAATGAGTACAGGTTAGGTATAGGTTCCTCAACCTGAATAAAACCACTACCAAT